AAAAAGAAAAAGAAAGGAAGGAAGATGGGGAGTGAAGGGGAGGGAGGATGGAAGACAGAGTATTAACTCAACCTGGTATGGCTATTTTAAAAACTGAAAGATAATAATATGCATATAGTGTTAATAATGTCAACCACATAGTTAACAGTAAATACCACTGTGTCTAACTTTCTTTAGAGTGAAGTATTTATAAAGAATAAAACAGTAAGCTCTTAAATTTTAGGATAAAGGCAAGTAAAGAATCTTGCCTCTGAACAAACAAGTGAAAAATCATTTTTTCTCTTTTTGAAATAGTAATCATTACTGAATATGTAAGAGCTTCTTATAAATAAAAAGCTAATACGAATTATACCTTTTATACCTAAAATTAAGCCAAAACATTGTTTTAGTTTGTACATACAGTATGTAATTTACTTTAAATTTCATCATCAAATGTGTGAAAAGGGTAGGTATTATTCTGTGGGTGAAGTAACTGAATCTTAGAGATGGCCAAAGTCATATTGCTTATGTAATATAATGCTACCAGCTGAGTAATATATAATATTTTAGTTTAAGAAGCACTGTCAAATATATGTCACTTGATTTGAATGTCACAGAAATCCACTAAGGTAACTGTGGCATGTTTTACATCTCTATTTAATAGAAAAGGAAACTTAAGTCCAGAGAGGCTCAAAGCTAGAGACTGGTAAAGTTTGATTAAAATTCAATTCTAGCTCCAAATCTTAATGCTGCTATTATTCTAGGCTGCCTCAAGCTGTGAGATACATGACTTTGGGTGTTTAATGGAATGAACAGGGAGGAAACTTTTCAAATTTTTGACGACTTGATACAGTATTATTAAATTTAACTTGTTAAAATATAACATGAATATACTATGAATTAACATAAAACAGACATAAGTGAATCAGAGTAAGCTGCTTTACTATAACTTATATGCTTGTCTCAAATTCTTAAGTATCTTGAAATTATGCAAACAGGCGAAACTACATTCACGCGGCAAAGACCTACCGATGCTGTGATGAGCCCAGCGATCTCGGATAGACTCCATCATATATTATGACTGCTCATCCACCCCAGAGATGAATCCAAAGTCTTCATTTTTTAGAAAGAATTTCTGAATAAAATAAAACTGGGATTTTTTTTCTGTTTCCTCTTCTGTGGTGAATTGATAAATTTATATTAGAAATGTGAGAATCCAGAAAATTTTCACTCATGCATATATAAAAAAGGAAAGAATAGAAATGATAATTCATATAGTTAAAAATTAACTTTTAAATTTTCTCTTGCTGTAAAATAGTGAACAATTATTTCAAAATGTTAAAAAATTAGCTGTTTTTAATTTACCTACTTTAAGATAATTAATCAAAAATGTTTTCCATCATTCATATTGAATATTAACATATATGGGTTTTTTTAAGTCTTATTTTATTTGGTGTTAATTGCTTTCTTTGCAAGGTAAATCTGAGTAAGATATATGAAATCTTGTTGAATGGTTCTTCCTAGTATGTTTTCATTCAAGTTCTGTCCATATCATTGTCATAATTTACTATAAGTTATCATCACCATCATAATTAACAAAATTAATCCCACATTTGCTTATATAGTAACATCTTAATGTTGTCAAGCAAAGCTCCCAGGAAAAGAATCTATTTAATAAATATGCACAGTGCATAGATTTTTTAAAAAGTTAAAGCTGTTTTATATTTGATCATGATCGTTGGAAACAATGAAAATAACTTGTTTTATTTTGCAAGTAAAATTGTGTGTTACAGAACGTAAGCTTTCGCACAAGAGTAGAAAACTCATTAAGTGTGGGAATTTAAATTGAAATTCAGTTCTCGAATCCTCAATGTAAAGATTCGTTCTTCTAGTTTTGTTTAGAGACAAGGTTCCATCCTACAGCAACATCCTAATTTTTGATTCTTCAACAAATACATCTTATTTACCTACCATTGAGTAAAGTGAAAAAGAGTACACTTTAGAAGTAATAAACATTCTTTGCCTGCAATGTGAATTCAAACACTTAAACAATTCGAATCACTTTACTGTGTAAATATTTTTAGACACTTTCCTGAGGTTAAAAACCTCAAGAGTTTATTTCTTGAATAATAGTGGTTAGAAACACATACATACACGCCAACACACACAGACACACACCTGATTGGAAAAGGATGGTCCTGATTCTTGTGGATAAGAGCCTCCTGGATAATTAGACATGTCCTGAGTTCCCAGTTTAGAAATGAACGAGAGATACCTAACCAGTTTGGATCCCTGAGAAAGGTACAACAAATGTCGTTCTTATCTCATCTTTCTGTTGAAAAAGCACAAACCACAGTGCTTCCGCCTTCTCACTACACAGAAAATTTCCCTTTTTATGACTTAAAAATGGTGAATTCAGTGATCGGAAATCTCCAAAGTTTTAAGGAACAAATGGTGGAATGATATAACCGCTTTCTAAATTTTTTTCACAAGTGAAAATTTTGTTATAAAATATGGTTGTAAGTACTGTGTGAAAAAAGACAGAAAAAAATTTAAAAACTTCTTGGTCATCCTATGCATAGGCTTTTGTAAGCTTGAGTGGAGTTAAGTATGCTTTGTCATAAAAGTTGAAACCACAGAGAGAGAGTTTTCATATATATATACTCCGACATACATGTATGTGCACACATAAATACATATATGCATATATGTGTACATACATGACATTTTAATAATGAAAATATAAAGTGTATACAAAACTAAAATTCCATGATAAATCATCATATGCCTACTTTAATTCATTATTAGTTTATGGCCAATAAGATTGTGTCTATGGTGTATACAGGCACCTCAGATCTGTTTCTGCTGTTCAGTAGGACTCTTTCCTCCTTCTTCCTTGGGGGCATTACTTTTTGGATTTCTCTTTATTGCTCAGAACAATAGCACCAAATCTCTTGCCAGAATAGCAAAATAATCAACTAATGCCCTAATGTTCTGATTTTTAGCTGCGTCTAATTTCCATTACATTTAAAAATGATAAGGAAACTGTCACAGCCAAAAAGAGTTTAAGGAGACAGAGTGACAAAATGTAACGTGCTATCCTGGATGGGATAATGGAACAGAAAAAGAACATTAGGAAAAAAGTAAAGAAATCTGAATAAAGGATGTTCTTAGGCAATAATTAGGCAATAATTTTTAGTTAGTAGGACGATTCTATAGACACTATCTATTTACTATTTACAATATGTGTGAGATAAAATTAACATAGGCAAAAGTTGATTCTGCAAAGTTTGATAAAGCTATAATAATTTTAATGAAATCAGTAGGTTATTTTAAATCTTCCTGTATGGGTAACACAAAAGTCAAATAGTTTTACAGGAGAGAAATAGTAAATTTTAAGAAAGAAATCATTATAAATTACACAAACTTTTCTAAACTATAGGGAAAAAAAGAAGAGTTGCTATTTTTTTCTCTACAACAAGAATTACCTTGATGTCTAAATTAGATGAGAATGTGTTAAGATAAGAAAAGGAAAAGTCAATCTTACTTATGAAAATTGTTCCAAAATCCTACAGCAGTACCAAACCAAATCGAACTACATCTATATAGTGTATAGAAGACCAAATTGAATTTATTTGAGGATTGTAATAGTAATGTTCCTTTGGAGGAAAAATTGTTAAAGGCAATTTGCTCCAAACAATAAAGAAATAGAAAAGAAAATGATTGCATCAAGATGGAATGCATATTTACTTCAACAGCTTTGAATTCAACATCTTTGAATGATAAAAATAATCTTCAGCATATTTACCAGTATCTATATAAACATCACATGAAGGCATTAGTAGTCTTTTAGAAAATCGTGAAAGCAAAGTGATCACTAATACCACTTCTTTTTGATGTTATTGTGGAGATTCTGCAGCACATTTAAGACCATCATAGAAGACTAAAAAGATAAGGACTTAATTTTTTTTGCTGATGGTATATTTATCTACAAAGATAAAAAATATTTAATGACCAGTTAACAGGAGTAATACTATATGACTGAATGTAGCATTAATTTGCACAAACTATAATGTTTAAGGTCAATTATAAATAGAAACAATTTATTTTTAATATACCACTAACTTAACAACCACAACAGAAACACTATAAAGTACTTACGTATAAATCTAACAGAAATAGACAAGACCTATTTGGAACTTACTGTATAATTTTATGGAAATATTTTCAAAAACAACTAAATTTTGATAGGACCACTGGATCTAATAAAAATATCAATTAATCCTACAATATTTTAGAGATGCAATTCTGATTAATATCCCAGCTAACGCTATGTTCATTAATGCAAAATCCAAGAGTAGACCTATCACTTTTGAAGAAGAAAAGGTAAGGGGCTTGTCCTACCAGAATTAAGACCTTTGCTAAAGCTATGTTCATTACAACAAAATAACATGGTAACATAGAGAAATCAGGCAAATTGAAAGAGAGAAAAGATACAGACAAGAAAGGCATATGCATAGATGAAAAAATAAATGAGGCAGCACTGCTGAAAAAGTAGGAAATGAGTTATTATTAGGCAATTTCTGCTGTGAAATTTTTATGCCAATTTAAAAACATAAACTTGGATTTCAACTGTATATACAGCCTATGCAGAAGAATTAGGAACTTAAACACACAATCCCAGTGTGCATAAAAAATAAGTAAATATTGGTGTAATTTAGAAGATTGATTCAGTATACATTTTATTTATTTTCACTTATTCACTACATTGAGATAAAATATAAAGTAAGATAAAAAAAAATCAGCAGAGGAGGGTAAAGCTCAGTGGTAGAGCACATGCCTAGCATGCATGAGGTCCTGGGTTCAATCCCCAGGATCTCCATTAAATAAGAATAAATAAATAAATAAATCTACTCCCCCCAAAAAATAATATTAAAAAAAAAAACGAAAACAACATACAATTTTAAGGAAAAATAAGGTTATCAAACTCAAAATTCTTAAAGATGTATCAAGGAAGGAAGGAAAGCAAATTCAGTGGTATGTTTCAACTTGAACAATAAACAAGTTTATTCAACACAGTTTTTGTAGTAACAACTATCTGCTGGGTGCTTTTCTAGACCTTGAGAATGTTAAACAATCTAGGAAAGATTTCTCACCATCATGAAGTTTACATTTTAGTGTAGGTGATAGAAAATGGACAAGAAAGCGTGAATCAAGTTCAAGAGCAAACGAGATAACTGAGTACAAAACAAGTTGAAGGAAAAAAAGAATAACATTATCTTCTTACATTTTTATACCAATATTCTTTTCAGATAATCAGCATTTTCCATTGTCCATTTTACGTAGTAGAATTAGATCTCTACATATGAAATGTAAGCTGACATTTTCTTGTAACCACATTTTTTAAAAAATATTTGGTTTATAAAAGGAAATGAATGTGGGCTTTCTATGGGGAAATCTAAATCACACTTGCTTAAAGAGTTACTTTTATGCTAGTAGCTTTAGGTTTTGCTGCAATTAGGTGCCTCAAGTAAAAGACCAAGAAAAAGAGAAGTGAATACAGTAGAAACAGAACATCTGAATATTCTGCTCATTTCATTTAGTTCTAAGAGGAACTTATAGTCCTGTAGAAAAGTCACAAATATCTACTTAAAAGTACAGTTTCTGGAAACAGCTACCATGATGAAGTTAAGAATGGGGAGCTATGGTGTCATATGTAAAGTTCTCCCTAAATAAATTGATGGAGTGTGGAAAGGATTCTCTCTTTTTTTTTGAAAATAGGGGGAGCAAAGAGTTTTTAATTAATTAGTTGATTAATTAATTGAGGTGTAACTGCCATGTAATATTATATTAGTCTCAAATGTGTAACCTAAGGATTTGATACTTGTATATATCACAAAACAATCACCACAAAAGTCAAGTTTACATCCGTCTTTAAGACTTCTTAAAGAGGTATATTCTAAGATGAGTCAGGATGGTGAGCTTAAAAAACTTACTTGTATGAAGAGGTAGTATGCACAAGAAATTCCGATTTCTTTCTCAGTGCTGAGCGTATATTCTCACCGCATCTGT